ATGATGAAAGTGGTGTTGTGCATGGTTCGAGGTCTCAACAAGGGGGCCATGTTTTAAGCTCCAAAACAATACCAAACCTCCCATATTCCCACTGATTATACCCAAGAAATCTGTTTTTACACATTGTGCCACCCTATGTTAAGTCTGAAGCAGAAAAATAGGGGGACACATTGAGGCCCGGCTGTGCCTCATTGAGGGCTGGCCATGGCTATTGAAGGCCGACTGTGCCTTAGTAGGGAGAAACACGATTCTGGGTGGGAGCCCGCCAACTGTCCATTTTTGAAGATATTTATGACCCCTCTTGTTCAAATTCTATAAAAACGACCATATATCTTTGTTTTGAGGGTTGAAGAATTTCTAAAAATCCTCTACACCACCTTGAGAGCTCCTTCTTCTCATTCTTCTTGTGCAAACGACACTTTGAGCAAACCTATCACCTTGGCTCAATATCCATACACCATATACACCTTCACACCTTAGCCTAGGAACCTTGGTTGAGCCTTGAACACCATAATTCAAGCTTGAGAGTGTGTTGAGACTTAGTTTGATTCATAAGAAAAAGCTCACTTCTTTGAGAGGTATAAGCTTGTCAAACGGTGACGTCCAAGTCTTGAGGACGGTCAAAAACGGGGTGTCTACACCATACACCATATACACCTTCACACCTTAGCCTAGGAACCTTGGTTGAGCCTTGAACACCATAATTCAAGCTTGAGAGTGTGTTGAGACTTAGTTTGATTCATAAGAAAAAGCTCACTTCTTTGAGAGGTATAAGCTTGTCATCCTCTCTTTTACTTCTTGTTCTTTCATTTACTATCTGGTTCTTGTAGTTTTATGTTGTTTTAATTCTCTTCCAAGTGTTTAAGTTTGGGTTTGGAGAGCTACCAAAAAGGCAGAGAGAGTTTTTACTCTTTCTATATCTTTACCTATAGCTCAAACCCTTCCTTTTACACTCTTTTTCTTTGCTTCCTAAACAGATTTTCAAAGTTTAAAAGAGGCTAATCATGCTTTGAAGTCTCAAAAGTGGAGGGGTTAGCAACCCCTCTTTGTTCTTGTTCACTAGCTTTGTTTTCTCTCTTTGTTGGTTAGCTTTTTAGGCACTTTTCATGCACTTTGAGCCACTATTTTTCATCTCTTGAGGGCGGTTTTAAGGCTATTCTAAGTTGCTTAAATAGTTCATGCCTTGATTAGCTTGATTGTTGTCTCACAAGTTTGCATACATAGCTTGTTGTATATTATTATAAGCTTTTCCTTGTCTAATTTCCATGTTTAAAAACCTCACTTTAATAATCAACTTGCCATTCATCTCTTGCATTTGAGAACTATTTTAAGCGGTTGACGGTTATTCAAAACGTGAATTAGTGATTTATGCTTAATGGCTTAATCTCTATAAAGGTTCATTGCCAACAGTGTAGTCTCTTTTTCATGTTGAGAATCACCTCCCGTTTGACATATTTCTCACTTAGTGGATGAAATCTCTAGTGGACGTAACAATCATCTTGGACTTAATGGATTAAAGGATGGAAAAGACTAATGAATTGGCTTAAAATGAACCAACTCACATAAAGAAAATGAGTTATTGCTTGGGGTTAGGCTGGATGTTATGCCAAGTCCATTGTGTCAAGGGTTGTCTTACATCAATTCATGATGTTTTGATAAATCTTGAAGTGTCTCTACCTCCCTCTTTGAGTTCACTCTATGATAGGAGGGAGGGGTGGCTATAGTTCCTTTCATTTGTTGATTTTTGTCCAAATTATGCCTGAAATCATCAAACAATCAACTTGCTCATTGATGGTTTTGGAAACGATTCCAACCTTCTCTTGAGGCTTGCTCATGGCAGAGAAGTGTGAGAGGGACAAACAGAGTCCAAAACACTTTGTCTGCACTGTTTTCACTTTAGACAAAATTTTGCATGAAATTGAGGCATGACCGGCCTTCTTTAGGCCCGGCCAGGCTTTATTAATGTTTGGTCAGCAGTGTACTTTGTAGAAAACAGAGAGCAGTGGTTGAGGGTGAAACGGAGCAAGCCTAGGCAGACAGAGCTGTTCTTGGACACTATGCATGCAACCCTTGCACATCCTTGCTTACATCATTATTATCGTTGTAATTAATTTATTATTGTTGTTATAATTAGTCTTGTTAATTATTAGTGTTGTAATTATCATTATTGTTTATATGTAATTGTTATTAGCTAATTAGCTTAGATAGTTAGTTTACTTCTCATGGTTATTCTTGTTGTAATAAAGTAGTTAGATAGTTAATTCATTCAGTTTTGTAGTAATTAGTTTAAATTAGACTTTCGGACTTTGATTCACACCCACTTGCTTGAGGGCAATTATGTAATAAGTTGTATGTCTTCCAACCCCATGTCTTTCTCCCTTTTACTGATTCTCTTACGATGGTTAGTATAGGACATCATTTTTTTCAAATTAGCATGCTTATGTTTTGCATCCATTGTTTTGCATGCATCCAAGGTTCGGCTCATCATACTAACCCAATATCAATGTTCAAATTCATTATTTGAATATGTGCTTTATCGCATGTCTTGAATGAAATCATATGCCATACTCATAGTCGGGCCTATAAAATTACATAATGTGTGTGTTGCATTTAGTCATATTGCATTAATTAGGAACATGCATGTTTTTCTAATAAATTTGCTTTGTTTTGGCTCGAAGTACTAGGTGAGTAATTTTATATTTTAGCATGTTGCATCGAATGTTTGTGTGTCAAAGCATACTTACATGAGGCTAAGTGCTTAATTGATATACCTATTTGAATGCCTGTAGATAAAGGCTAGTTGCTTGAATTGGGATAGTTTGATTAAATGTCCATTTTAAGCCCACTTTTTCAAGTGGCAAATTCGCAAAAAGATTTCAAATAAAACACGAAATCAAATGTTCCAATTATTGCAAATTAGTCAATACCTTGTGTGCATCACATAGTAAGTTAGCCTAATAAATCGAAACAAGAGCACATAATGTAAATTAGAGGCCGATCTTTGATAGGGTGAGTAGGGTGCTCAATTCATGACCTTCCTCTTTCGTACCTAAGTTTCTTAACTAAGACACTTTGATGATGACGGATAAGTGGCCTTTGGCACGAGTCTCGGGTTTCCTAAATTTTCCAAAAATATTTAGGTGGTGACTCTGTAATCTGGCAAAGCAGTCCATTTTTAGCATTTTTGATTCAAATCGATTTTTCAAAAAGAATTGTCAGATTTGGACTCTTTTTGTGCTTTCACTGTTTCATATTGCACTTGTGAAATCAGATTCAGAACCACAGAAGTCCGAACTATAGGCTATTCATTTTCTAAAAGGAGTATGAAAAGTCAAGCTACAGCCACTTGTCGTTCTTCTTTGGCACCACCATGGTGTTGGAAATCCACTTGGGATAGTATACCTCTCAGATTGCCCCTGCTTTCAACAAGTTTCCCGCTTCTTTAGCCATTATCTCGGCGTGGTAAAATGCCGATCGGTGTATTCGTTGTATAATTGGTTTGGCAATTGGGTGGACATTAAGCTGATGGCAAATGAAAGTTGGATCAATGCCTGGCATATCATATGATGTCCAGGAAAACACCTTGATGCTAGAGATTAAGAAGTCTATGATCTCTATTCTCTCAGTGCTGGACAGAGATGAGCCTAGTAGAAAGAATTTCTTTTGGTTTTTCTCGTCTATCTTCACTTCCAGCAAATTTTCTACTGCCTTCTGTTCAACTACTTTGCCGATGTCTGTGAACAACTCATTGTTTTCTGGTTACTCTACCATTTGTACAAACCATTAGGCCGCTCGGCTACTATTTACTGTCATGAAGCATTGGTTGGACATGATTTGGTCTCCTAAGACCTCTTCGATTATTCCAGCTTCGTTAGGGAACTGCATCACTTGGTGATAGGCTGATGCTACCGCTCGCATGGCGTGTAACCATGCTCTCCCTAAGATTATGTTGTATGTGGAAGGGACTTTCAACACCTAGAATTCCACTTGTTTTGTCATTGTTCCAGTTTTGACAGGTAGAATTATCTTGTCAATCCGCTATTTTAGCATTGAGTTGAAGCCGACCAAGGGAGATGTCACGGGTGCTAAATCTTTGTCCTCTAACTTGAGTTGCTTGAAGGTCTCATAGTACATTATCTCACACGAGTTGTCTTGGTCTATCAAGGTCTGCTTGATGTCAAAGCTCTTCACGCGCAGAGTAACCACTAACGCGTCATTATGGGGGCTTTGCAACCTTGCCAAGTCCCTGTCAGAGAAGGTGATGATGTTAGTCGCTTCTGTCTTCTCCTTTTTCATGGTAGGCTGTGCACTCAATACTTCTCTTTTGTGCTCAACCTTCTTGATCATCTCTTTGAGTTCACATACTCGTTCAAGCTCGATAATCCCATGTATTACATTTGATTATGCCTTAGGAGAGACCGTCGGCTAACGTCCCATCTGGCCCGTTGCGGTCTTGGGGAGCTGGATGCGCTCCCTCTTCAATATATTGGTCCAGATGGCCTACGGCCACTAAATCCTCCAGATATTGCCTTAATGGCGTACAGTTTTCAGTTCGGTGTCTCTTCTAGCATTGACTGGAAGTCCGCCGACCCAGGCAACTCTGTGTGCCTTGATGTCGTCTGGTGCATGCCTTAGGAGAGACCGTCGGCTAACGTTCCATCTGGCCCGTTGCGGTCTTGGGGAGCTGGCTGCGCTCCCTCTTCAATATATTGGTCCAGATGGCCTACGGCCACTAAATCCTCCAGATATTGCCTTAATGGCGTACAGTTTTCAGTTCGGTGTCCCTTTTTATCATGGAAGGTGCAACGGTACCTATCATCATAGCCCCTCTATGCTTCTCCTAACTTGGCTGGCTGCCAAACGAAGGGTTTGTCGTGTATCTCGCTAAGAATTCAGTAGACAAGCTTATTGAACACCATGGTGATGGCGGTGCGGACTCTCAACCTCCTCGTTTGGGAGTCCTCACTGTTTGCTCATCTGCCCCAACCATTTTTGTTTGGTCATTCTTCCCGGTTGACCGTGTTAACTTTTGCTGCAGGTTTTTTGTCCGACATCGCTGTTGTACCGGACTTTGCCTTGGCGCAAGCGCCATCTTCATCTACCCTGATGTGTTGTACTCTTTCCATTAAGGCCTCTATTGTGAGAGGTGGCATCATTGTCATTGAATCCCTCAATTTATTGCCCATGGGTAGACCCTGTTTGTACTGTGCGATATCTAGGTTTGCAGGGCAATCTCCAATTTGATCAAAAGTCTCATAATACTGGTTGTTGTAAGACTTTTGTGTTTCTTTCTCGCCCATGTCGATGGAGAGCAGCTGGTCTATCTCCACCGGCATCTTGGTATTTGTCTTAAACCCGGTAACAAACGCCTCTGCAAGTTGTGCCCATGAAGCTATGCTGCCTTTTGGTAACCTCTCAAACCATGTCAAGCCCGGATCACCTAAGCTTGAGGGAAACAAGATACACATTAGAGCCTCGTTCTATCGGTATACGGCTATAACCTAGCAAAAGTGGCTTAAGTACATGTAACGATCTGACTTCTCCTCATAAGTGGTGAATTTAGGTTGGTGGAAGCCCAAGGGCAACGGTGCATTCTTTATTACCAGAATGAACGGTGAGCTTTGTAACCTTGCTAACACTTTGTCTTCTGGTTCATAGGCAAGGTGTGGTACTGGCATTCCAACCTCGACACTTCCATGTATCTAAGGAGCCAATCGCTGCAGAGCAGAGACCTTTTGGGGGTCGCGTGTCTAAGCGTCTTCTCTCATTTGAGTTCTCTCTTCTAGCATTGACCGGAAGTCCGCCGACCCAGGCAACTCTATGTGCCTTGATGTCGTCTGGTGCGTATGCGAGGGCCTATAACTGCTTCCCTCCGTACAAGACCTTTCAGTCCTCGTTCTCTCAGAGTTTGAGTAACAAGTCCTGGAAGTCCTTGACTGTGTGTCACCTGTCCTGAGGCTTCTGCTTTCAGTCTATGATGGTGTGACTTGTCTGTCACGATCTCTTGAGTGGCGAGAGTGCATTCTGCCTTTGCCCGTCTCTTTTTCCACCTTTTTTCCTTTTATCTAGCGCTTCATTGTCTACATGTCAGCCGTCATTCTCCTTATCACTTCGTCTTACTCCCTTACACAATCTTCTAGAACCTGAGGATCCATCATCCGCTTTTGTTTGTCAGGGCTTTGAAAGTGGCGTGGACTTGAGCCTCGTCTTTCTCGTATGTCTCTCCATTCATTCCGTCGCTATGGATCCAATTCTGCTATTGGTAGGACTAAAGGCAAACTATCGCGCCTCCCGCCCCCTTTCGGGGTTTGCCCATCGATAGCAAAATGAAGCAAGTCTTCATTATGCGCCATTGAAATTAATTGAAGAAAAACTTGATCAAAAGGTTTGTTCTCTGCAAGCTTCCCACAAACAGCGCCAATTGTACGAGCACAAAATAATCTTCTTGTATAATCCTGTTGATCAAGTTTGCACTCCTCCAAATGTTGTCGCTTTATTACCTGAAAACACAAACATGAGCTAGCCGGCAGGGGTGTGCCAGAAACCTCTTCGATGCCTAAGTCAGCAAAATAGACAATAGACACAAAGGTTCTATGTAATTGAGAGTAAGAATTGCAATACCTATGCATAGGTCCTGTCATGAGCTTTTATAGATTCTGCCTGGCACACTCCTATTAGGACTCTTATTCTCTCCAGCAAAATCCTCCTAGGAATTACACTCCCAAGGATAATGCTTATCCTGATAAAACTCACTCACTGCTAACCAGGTGAGATGGTTTTACCTCGGCTATTGATAAGGTCAATCGAACTAACTCTGCTCTGCTCTACTCTTAGCAAAACCATGATCAAGATGGCGCTCTGCCGTGCTAAGCTTGACTCGGTCCTCGTCATTGATGTTACCTCGGTTTGCTACAAAACTTCCTTTAAACAGCTAGGTCGAAGTCTCAGTGTCACAACTGACCAGCCTAGTCCAAGACCGAGCTACCAGCTCCTATTCCGACCCATAGCCTGGCCCTTAGTGCGGCCCAATTTATCCATATAAATTACCCTCTTAATAAACATTGTATATGCTTTGGAAATGTGAATTGTATATTCAGTATTGAGAACTTGTTTATCATGTTGATGATAATGAATGACCAGTGAATGGGCCTTGAAATTGGAATTGATTGGTTATGATTGTTGTAATTGGTTTAAACATGATTATAACGTTTGATTTATAATTTTGGGGATGAAATTCTTTAAGGGGGGATATTATAGTGATTCTGGTTTAGACCTGATCCATTTGATATTTTGGATTCGGGTTTCATGGTTTTGTATTTTTGTTCATGTCTTATTCCTTTTCCCTCCTTGAGTTTGGCTATTGGATTGTGTTGGTTGTGTTTGGAATAGTTCGGTACCTTGTTTTTCAAAAACCTTGTTGCTTAGAATTTTGTCTATACGCTTGAGCGTCACTTCTTGCACTCAAGCAGTCTTCGTGAACTCTCAGTACTTTTGTAGGTCTATAAAACTACTAGGAGAGTGTATTCTACGCTCGAGCGGTGCTTCCTGCACTTGAGCGGTCGTGCGCTCGAGCGACTCTTCTTGAGCTCGAGGGGTAGACATCTGTCTATAAAATTAATGGGAGTGTGTATTCTATGCTCAAGCGTCACTTCTTGAGCTCAAGCGGTAATTATTTTTGTGTCTGGATGCTCGAGCATCACTTCTTACGCTCGAGCGGGCTGTGTGTATATCAGTTCGTAAAAGTCACTTTTTACATCACCTTTTCACCTCTCTCTCTCTCTCTAAACATTTCAAAACCCTAAATCAAGGGCTCCTCTCTCTAGAACTTACTCTCTCTTCACAAATACGACAAGATCTCTCTATTCTCCACCATATTCTCTTTGTTAAAAAGGGTGAGCTCACCTAGAGCTTCATTTTCATCTGAATAGAGTTGGGTTCCAGCTTCATTCGAGTTTCATATATGCTTTTTTCATCTTCTAGCTTTGAGGTAGGGATTTTCTATACTCTTTTATGATTTTTAACTCAGCTATTTGTTTTTATGAAATAATTTTGTGATTTTAGAGGATTTTGAACAAACCTAGGGTTTTGTTTTAAAATCAAAAGACGGGTTTTCAAATGGATGTATTGAAAATGGTTTTGGGGTTGGATATGAAGTTGAGTTATGAGGAAATTATTGATTTTGATACTTGAAATGGATTTTGGAAGAAAAAATGATGTTTACCCTAAATGACTCAAATATTTATTTTGTATAAATCAATGGAAGTGATGTTGGAAATATGAAATTGGATGGATATTGATATAGATGGTGGAGTTTGATATGTATTATCACTCACTTTGAAATTTGGAAAGTTTATCAGTATTGGAGATTTTATATATGTTTTGGGCTATCAGTGGAGGGTAACTATGATTGTTATAGAAATTGCATGAGGATTAGGTGAATTGAAACTAATTTCTCATCCATACGCATTGAATATTGTTGCTCACTTAATACATTTCAAATGTATGTGATTTTGAGAAAAATTGGATGAAAGTTGGAAAGAGGTGTGTATCACCAAACTAAGTTGGCCTGTGTCTTCAATGTGAAAGTCCTAAAAAATGCTCGTATATATGGGTGTCGATTCCCGCGGACGAAATATCCGTAAAATGGCAATAGTAGCACTTGTATAGGCTATGTTTACATAGGTGCCGTTTGGCGGTTTCCCGCAGACAAAATATCCGTGAAAGGTTGTACCAGTTTGAGAATTCCCTCTTGTTTTCTGTTATAAAGAACATGATTTGAGAATTGTAATATAAACTGAGCATGACATGGTTTTGGAGAAAGAAATGTAAAACGTTATGGTCATAACTATTGCATACACATTTCACCTTTATATCTTTGTTAAGATTTGTGTATTGTGTTGGATTGTTTCTACTGGGTTTTGACTTACCCTATATGGGAAAACTGTTTTTAGGTACTAGTGATATGCTTCCACCAAGGACTTAGCTTGGGAGGATTGTGGAGTTGAAGACTTAGTGTTGTATTTTATTTATTTATTTATTTATTTTTTTTGTACAAGCCTAGGGCTTTATATGTATTGAGCTTATGACTCACTTTTGATGTAGTCAAGCATTGACATGGAAATGTGTGAGCCTTTAGGGCATACGATTATTTGTTTAGCGTTCATTTCTTTTCTCAATCTTGTAACACATGTCGTAGATTCAGGATGTACTGTTTATGAATATCTATCGCATGTGTCACCTTTTGTATATCAAATTTTGATTAATGAAAGCTTATCAGTTCATAAATGTTTCCACTTATCAGTTGTTATGAGATGGGTGCATTGTATTTATTTCGGGGCATTACATAAACTTTATTCCCATATGACATTGTTTAGAGCTCTTTGAAAGGTGCCTAGAAAGCTCCATGGTGTATGAGACATCACACAACCACAAATAAATAAATAAATAAAAATAAATAAATCCTAGTGAAGCGAAAGATTATAAACAAGATAATAGTTTGTGTAGCTGAATGCAGGAAACCTCAAGTGACTAGAAAACAATGTTGCCTCAGACATAAGGCACTTCTCTCGCTAAGTTTTGTAAATATTTAATAAAATTCTTCTTTTTATTTTTTATTTTTTTTAATATATAAAACATATGTAGCTAACCTTCGACAGCAAAATTCAAACTAGATTACCACTAGAAGCATGCATTGTTGTTACAAATACACACGTCATGGATAACAGAGCAAAGATTTCAAAACACATTTCATTTAATTGCAAGAAATTAAGGATTCCTTAAAAATACAATCTAATAAAACTATCATAATAACAGAATTCAAGTAGCAAAATTTAATATAAACAAGTATCAACAACAAAAGCAATCCTCAGAAGAGTTATTACAGAATCTTAAGTAGTTAATCATTCTCATAAACCAAATAAACTTGATCATAGTTCATAATGTAAAATCATTGATAGAGAGAAGGTTATGTATATGCATTAAATCAAAATCATAGAGAAATACTTGCAATCCAATCTGCAAAATCATATATAAAATCATACCTAAAATCAGAGAGAGAGAGAGAGAGAGAGAGAGAGAGAGAAAAGATTACCGAGGAAGAAAGGAGACAGAGAGACTGAATGAGTGGAATTGGTGAGAAAGGAGAAGGGAGTCTATGCAATCAAGAAAATAAAAGGTAAATTACACTTTGCCCTTTTCTGTTTGGTCATTTTCTCATTTTGTCCTTTAAATTTTGTTTTTCTCCACTTTGATTCTTCATGTTTCAAGTTTTTTCTTAGTTCACTCCTAAAGTTAATTTCTGTTCAAAATTAGACATAAAATATCACAATAATTGTTAGAAAAATATATATTATTATATTGATATATTTGAGTTTGTGTGGAAGTTTTAGTTATATATAATAAAATATTTTTATGTCAGGTGACTGCTAATATGACTTTTTTGTCTAAATTTTAATAGGAATTATTTTTA